TATAATATATTCACAAAGAGATTTTCGCTTTCATTTTACTTATTTGGGAGGTATTGTTATAGAATAGTGCACGTTCAACAAACTATTTCATTTTATTAATGAAGTATTGTCAGTAATTCTTTCGTTGTTACTTTTTTGTCCTATGCAGAATGCGCATGCGCGAAATTATACTTCCGTTTCTATGGAAATATCGTATTGTAAAAAGCACGTACATGTTGTCTGACCAGGCTCTATACTGTTGGCTGTTTAATATCATCTTAATTTTCATATTGATATACCCACATTTTCTTTCATATTGTCTAATGAAACTATACGTTTCTAAGGTGCTCATTGACCACTGTACAGCGACCTTCTTTTGGCTCAGAATACAGATATTTGGCTAATACTAGGTGGAAATTGCACCGCGGTAATTTCCATATTCGACAGCAGAATCTGCATTTTGTGATGGGCCCTTGATAAGCATAGACTACATACATACAATTTTATACAAAGTTATCAGGGTAAGGGCCAAAACCAATTCAAATTTATTGCAATGTCGAACAGTCCTGCTGCATACATCAAAGAGTTATATAATATAGCTGTGCATACAGGCAAAAGTAGCCTACACCTCTATTTGAAATTTATGGCCAGATTTAAATTGATGCTTTCCATACGAGAGTAAACGATCAAGAAACGGTGTAATCGACGAGAAACGAGAAAGATAATTAGGAAAAGAAAATTTTCGGAATTTTATATCGTTGACAGGAACTCAAAGGAGTAGATCTATGATTTCTTTCTGTCTGCAAATCTATAAATAATAATTCAATTAAAGCCGTGATTGTTATGACAATACGGCATTTTTGCAGAAGAAAGGAACAAATTTATACAAATTATTAATCATAGATTTAGCGTTTTATTTGCGGTGGTGTATAGAAACTTTTGAGACTGTACTGTATCTGATGGAAAGATCCTTTCTATAAATAGAATCCCGTGACGTCACACGTAAACTGAAACGGCAAGATGTCGGCCACCGTCAGATTAATTGAAATGCACTGGATTTTGTGAATTACACTCCACTGTTACATTTTAGGAAGTAAACATATATTTCTGTGTTAAGTTTATTAATTAATAAATCTTGCTGGATATAAAATAATTGGATGATAGTGTGGAAAATACCGTAAATCGCGAATTTTTGTCTTGCAAAAGAAATCTTCGTAACAAGCACCCTGTCAAAATTTTGTTATCGTATCTTTTATGATTTTAATTCAAAAGGTTACTTCATAAACTGCGTTATGTCAATATTTTTTATGTTAAATTAACTTTAAAAGTGAAATAATATGTGATTTTACAAAAAAAATATCAGAAGTTTGAATGAGTAATGTCTTGATTCTAAAGATCAAAGACGCCGCAGGAACATCAAAGGGATGCACCGACGCTAATACAATAATGCAATTGTGAGGAATTATTATAAATTAATTTCTTTCATCAATGGTTTGATTGCATTTTTTGTGATCATTAAAACAAAAGTATGAATACTTACTGAGTGCAAAATGAATGTTTTGCAGATTTGTGTATTTCACACATTTCTGACAATTCTTCTGATCTTCCAAAACGAAATCCCTCTGACCCAGGCATGCTCATCTGGCTGCACGTGCACCACAATACCCGAAAAAAGTGAGAATTCAGCGGAAGGTGATGATGCTGCAGGTGATGCTGAAGGACCCGAGGCGGATGAACTGGGCATGCCTCAAGATACAAAGGGTCGGAAGGTTGATTGCTCCAATAACCCATATAGGTTTAGTTCTGTTGAGGATTTAAACAGGGCCATTACTATTCCCTTGGATACAATTTATTTGTAAGTATTTAATAAAGATTATGGTTAAATCAATTATCATACATGTATGATACTGAACTGGATTAAAAGTTAATCAAAACTCATTAATTAGATCTAATCATTTTTAAATGCATAAACATATACCTACTTTGTAATTTCTTTTATTCATTGAGACTAAACAGGGTCGGTATTTCAGTTATTAAGTCATTTATTAGTTATAATAAGTATGTTTTAGGACTTAAGAACACCCAGAACAAATTAATGATTGACAATATACAAAATTTAAAAATGTTGACAATGTCATTATTTTGATACAGTTATGATACTTCATGTTAGGGTTAAAGTTATTTTAATGCAGTCCTACATTGTATATGGGTAATAGAATGTCATTATTTACCAGCCCTTCCCCCTGCTCCCTCTTCCTTAGAAGCTCAAGAATGAAATTCCTTGTCAATATATAACTTTATAAGTAAGAAAAAAATGGGTATATTTTGTTTAATACAAATACAGCAATTGTTCTTTGATTGGCATATTAAATCACAATTCATTTATTTATTTTAAAATATTTGTGTGATCAGGCTGTGTGGCAATGAAATGAAGAATTGGTCTTTGAGATCTGTTAATTAAGTCATTTGAATAACTAATTGGTACAAATTTAAGTTAAAATCACTAGCTACAACATTATCAGAAATTTATTTTTATTTATAGTTTTTCCTTTATATGTTTTGATGGGTAATTTGTAGTAAAATTTTCATCTTGCTGTAATTTTAAAAAGTACATGAATTTCAAAAGATATTAACAGTGGTTCTAGATCTATGTGTATGTTCTTATAATGCATTATTTCTTTAAGTTAATTGCAACATTGGGTGGCAATGTTTAAGTTACATATAAACAAAACTGATAATAGTAATTTGTTCTTCAACTTCTTGTACTACACTGTCAGGTAGAATTAAAGATTTAATAATGTAAACATGTGCACTTCTGAGCCTGTCAGTTGCAAAGTTCATGTTAAATCCTTGCTTTGTAATGTTGATATGCAATCGGGTTTTTTTCCCCAAGATTTACTGAACATTAATCAGGGTTCATTGATGACCCATACCTATGGAATTGGGAATTTTAGCGATGTTTTTTTCTCTTCTTAAATTGGGAAAAAAATGAATGACTTAGATTTTGCAATAATTAAATGAATGCAAAGAATCGCTGTCAATTAGCCTTCCCTTATCTCAGTTACTCCACTTACTGGAATATCCCTTGTTTTTGTATTGAAACAGTACCTTTTGAGACTTACAGACTGAGGTTACAATTGTTAGATTTAATTGATAAGCCATAAACTACAGAGTTATCATAACTTATGCCCCTTTTTATTTCTCTCATCAAATAGTCTAACATGTACATGTTTACAATACTGATTAATTGTTATTAATTGATTACAGTCCCAGCAATCAGTTATCAACATTTTCAATGCTGGTTCTTTCTTTGATAGGGTCCAGTCCCTTTAATCTTTTATCATTAAGATTAAAATCTTGTGAGATCAGAGAATATTTGTCTGTTGATTTATACCATATCTTGATTAATAGATTGATAAATTATTGGAAATTCCAAACCCAGATTGCATAGGCCAAAACATAAAAACAAAATGGTATGTTCAGCATTTGTCATGCTCATACTGTCATTGTGAAAAAATATCCCATAAATGAAATTTGAAAGGGCTATTGTTCATTTATACCCATGAATACAAGAATTCCACATAGGAAAGAAAATTAAATTATATGTGGTTTCAATTTTTTTTTCTTTGAATAAAAAAAATTGTCAAAAAATTGAACTAAACTTTAAAATTTGTGCTAAAACATTATTTTTTTGGAAATATACACTGTTCACTCATATAAATTTTACATATATATATCAGAAAACACTTTAATATACAGTTCTGCATTGCGATTTTGTTTTGCCTTTAATATACAGTATGTAGAAAAGAAAAGATATTGAATGTCTTCTTATTGTGAGGGGAAACAAGACACATACTTTTGTTGGCCTTTTAACATGTTCCCCTTGTATGCATTCTGCATTGCAGCTGTTAGTTTTAATGGAAAAAGGGTAATCTTGGTGCATCTCTCTTCTATTTAAATATCAATCATTGCTCAGATCAATAAAAGTGAATGTGTCATCTTTTTTAATGCCTTTGATCTCATTGAAATATAGGAGTTTTATTTCTGATATCTATGATTTGGTTTTTTAATTTTTTTTATTTTCAGATTAAATTACATTTGAGTAATTGTTGAGAAAGAAAATTAGAAAGAAACCCTACCTCTTTATGATTTTTAATTCTGTCTTGCTGGTAACAAAAACTATTGGAATAGGATAATATTTTAATTAATGTGAAATTGTACAGTATTTAATAAATTACACAAAACTTGCTTTTACTGGATTTGTCATTCATTAGACATTCTTGTGGCTTAAAGATAACACATCAAATATTTGATAAATTGTAATAATTATTTCCCATTTTATTTTCAATCTTTATTATTTACTAATCTATAAATTATTTTTAATTATTAAATTTCTCCTCACTAACAAAGTATAATTATTGAAGCGATTATTTGAGACTTTGTGTTTGCAGCAATAATGACTTTCCCATCCTGCCAGTATAGCCCGCTAATGCTAGCACAGCACTCCCGTTATTCCATGCTGTCTGACCATGAATCTCTGTACTGTTGGCTACTTAATTTACCTTTATTTACTAATGGACTGTTCTAAATCAAAGCGGGGCAAGTCCTTTAATGGGATTATACAAAATTATTTTGGCAAAAACATTGACATACATGTACAAAGACATATCCATAATTTCAAGTTATTCAACATTAGTCAGGAAAATTCTTTAAAAGTTCATAAATAACATTAATTTACAGGCCAATTCCGGTTATTCCCTTCTGATTCCAGTAATTTGGCCAAGTAAATTTATTCAACTGGCTATCCAATGACTACCCTGGTATAGTTCTTATTTTTATTTAAAGACGTTTTGTTCAATGTTTATGTATATAATGAGTAAATTTAATCTCATCTCTTAGACTCTATTTCGAAATTTGATCATACATTGACTGTACATGAACATTGAATAACCAGAATTCATATTGGCTCGCTCTCTTCAAACTGAAGAAATATTTATTCTATCAAAATCCAACAGGTTAAATTGTAATACTTGAGAGATACTGATAGGTGTAAACTTCAGAGAGATATACTCTCAAGCCTGGCAAAAAAAAATTATCTTGAAAACTTCAAAAGTGGCACATTGGATGTTATGTGGCCCTGTAGGAGGCCTCATTCAACTCAAAACATAATGTGCCTTGAAAACCTATTACTAGAAAAGCCAGGAATATATGCTGGATTCATTGCTTTCAAGTATAAGGCTTTTTTCTTGCGATAGATAAAATAGTAATTAACTTCATCATTATGCACTGCGTAGCTTTTCAACACATGTGCGAGACGGCTCTTTTTTCTCGATCAAGAGGGAAATGAAAAATGCTTATTTTTGTTTTGTTCATATTTATACCCCCAAAAACGAAGTTTGGGGGGGTATATAGGAGTCACCCGGTGGTCGGTCGGTCAATCGGTCGGTTGGTCGGTCGGGCGGTCGGTCGGTCGGTTAAGACGTCCGTTGCATTTTCCTTGTCCGGAGCATAACTTGAAAACTAATGGTTGGAATTCAATATAACTACATACAATGGTCAAGCACATTGAGAGGAAGTGCAGTGCCCAAGAACCATAACTCTATCATGACTAATTACAGAGTTATTGCCCTTTGTTACTTTTCCTTGTCCGGGGCATAACTTGAAAACTACTGGTTGGAATTCAAAACAACTTCATACAATTGTCAAACACAATAAGGGGAAGTGCAGTGCACAAGAACCAAAACTCTATCTAAAGTAATTAGAGTTATTGCCCTTTGTTGCTTTTCCATTGCTTTTTTTTTGTCCGTTGCATTTTCCTTGTCCGGAGCATAACTTGAAGACTAATGGTTGGAATTCAATATAATTACATACAATGGTCAAGCACATTGAGAGGAAGTGCAGTGCGTAAGAAACATAACTCTATCTTGACTAATTACAGAGTTATTGCCCTTTGTTACTTTTTCCTTGTCCGTGGCATAACTTGAAAACTACTGGTTGGAATTCAAAACAACTTCATACAATTGTCAAACACAATAAGGGGAAGTGCAGTGCACAAGAACCATAACTCTATCTAAAGTAATTACAGAGTTATTGCCCTTTGTTGCTTTTCCATTGCCTTCTTTTTTTTTGTCCGGACCATAACTTGAAGACTAATGGTTGGAATTCAATATAACTACATAAATGGTCAAGCACATTGAGAGGAAGTGCAGTGCATAAGAACCATAACTCCATCTAAAGTAATTACAGAGTTATTGCCCTTTATTACTTTTCCATTGCTTTCTTTTGTTCGGACCATAACTTGAAGACTAATTGTTGGAATTCATTATATCTTCATACAATGGTCCAGCACATTGAGAGGAAGTGCAGTGCACAAGAACCATAACTCCATTTTGACTTATTACAGAGTTACTGCCCTTTGTTTCTTTTCCTTGTCCAGAGCATGACTTTAAAACTACTGGTTGGAATTCAAAACAACTTCATACAATGGTCAAGCACAATAAGGGGAAGTGCAGTGCACAAGAAACCATAACTCCATCTTGACTAATTACAGACTTATTGCCCTTTGTTACTTTTCCATTGCTTTCTTTTGTTCGGACCATAACTGGAAAACTTATTGTTGGAATTCATTATAACTTCATACAATGGTCAAGCACATTAAGAGGGAAGTTGCAGTGCATAAGAACCATAACTCCATCTTGACTAATTACAGAGTTACTGCCCTTTGTTACTTTTCCTTGTCCAGAGCATGACTTGAAAACTACTGGTAGGAATTCAAAAAACAACTTCATTCAATGGTCAAGCACAATAAGGGGAAGTGCAGTGCACAAGAACCATAACTTCATCTTGACTAATTACAGAGTTATTGCCCTTTGTTACTTTTCCTTGTCCAGAGCATAACTTGAAAAACTACTGTTTGGAATTCAGTACAACTTCATACAGTTGTCAAGGACATTCAAAGGAAGTGCAGTGCACAAGAGCCATAACTCCATTTTGACAAAATACAGAGTTACTGCCCTTTGATACTTTTCCTTGTCCGGAGCATAACTTAAAACGTACTGGTTGGAATCCAAAACAACTTCATACAATGGTCAAGCACAATAAGAGGAAGTGCAGTGCACAAGAACTATAACTCTATCTTCAGTATTTATAGAGTTATTGCCCTTTGTTCTTTTTCTTTGTCTTTCTGGACTTATTACAGAGTAATTCAATTAAACTTCCATCAATGGCCAACCACATTGAAAGGAAATGCAACATACATGAACCACAATTATCTTAATTGCCCACAACCATAACTCTATGTTTCAATTCTTTTACAAGGTATTCTGTTACTAGTAACATCCTCATTTCCGAAGCAGACTTGTGGGGGTATTAATCACATTTAGTGATAGTTCTAGTTTTAAAAAAGGAGTGAAAAAAACAACAATGCTTGTCTGGGCTTAATATGCACTGTACATCTTGTATTAGGTTTTTGTTTTGAAGGAAAAACTGTCATTAAATCAGTATTTATGTAAAATAAGTGAGCATTATTCACGGCTTGGTGTCATCAATTACTTCAAAATATAATGCTTTGCCTTCTTTTCCTATATAATGTGACTTCAAATTTTCAGTATCTGACTTCCAAATTTTGGAACTTAATGGAAGCCCTGTTAAAATGTCCACCAATCATCATAATGAAACTTCTATTCAGTATTATGCCTATAAAAAAGGGTATAAAAATATTCATATTGCTTTGTCTTCTTACATGATAACGGTCCAATCTGCCTTAAGAAGTTTATTTTGTAAGAAATTTTCTATGGCATGAAAGCTATTTAATATGTGACTTCAGATGTCAGAAATTTTCAGTATCTGACTTCCAAATTTTGGAACTTAATGGAAGCCCTGTTAAAATGTCCACCAATCATCATAATGAAACTTCTATTTAGTATATTATGTCTATAAAAAAGGGTATAAAAATATTCATATTGCTCTATCTTCTTACATGATATAACTGTCACAACATCGGCCTCAAGAAGTTTATTGCATTTTATAAGATATTATCTATGGCATGATTATAAATTGAAGAAAACTCCTTATACATATATGTACATATGAAATTCAAGGTTTCTGTCCAACATTCAAACTTAATAATAAATATATGTTGTATCTCTTGTAACATATGCAATCCTACTTTGTACATTGAATGCTTTTGTGTATATTTTTAACTAAATATCAAAAGTCTTTTCCTTATAATGAATTTGGTTGACGGTCTTCAATTTTGGAGTTAAGTTGGTAATTGTCAAAAGACCATAGATTTTGAGCAGACCTCTAGTTGGCCTCTATAACTGTACAAGTAGAATTATCAATCTCTTTGTTTAGTTGAACAATTTTCATATATAATTTTATAAATCAATACTCTATCAGACAAATTAACAGTTTTGGTGATTTGGTAAAAAAAATTCAGGTTTGCTTCACAAAATCCCAGCAGTTGCATGGCTAACATGAGCCCTGGTTAACCTTGTACTAGTTGTATGCAATATGGCAGAAATCAGACCAGCTTCTATTGCATAGACACATACTGCGGGAAACATCACATATCCTCACTCTTCAAGTCTTGTCATAATCATATATTTCGCCTTTTAACTGTTTCTTTTAATACTGATAAAAAGGTTTGAAAATGAAGAAATTTTATCAATACCCCAATTTCAGACATCATATATGCATCAGTGTTGTCTGGGACTTCCTGCTGTAATATTTTGTTGGAAGCTATAAAAACACGTGTATATTTATTGTATGATTGTTTACCCATTATGATATGATGTCTGCTTCAAAACAAATGCATGAAACATTTGTTTGACCTCATTACCATAATGATCACTAATTTCTGATTATTTCTCCCATCATCTTTGATTGAAGTATTCCTGTAAGACATATTTTCTCAAAATATAATTGGTTTAGGCATGGAATAGGCAATTATATATGGAGGCTTCACAAAATTATTATTCTTTTTGAGGGAATGCTACAACTTATTGTTTTTTTTAGGGATTGGCAAATGTGAAATTGTCTTAGAGGATTAATCCCAAGATACAGAAATGATTACTTGCCTATCTATATATTAATAACAGATTTACCAGCATATCAGTTCAGGTTCTGTGTATTATTCTGCAATAACTGATGGCTGCTGCATATCATGTTTTATTATAAAATTAATTGAACAGAAAATACAGCCAATGTCAAAGTTTTACATATATTCATGATGATATTACTGCAGTGGTCCGCCATGCTAATCCGAAATCCTTCTAATCCGAAATCCTTCCCTAAACGAAAAAATTGTCTGGTCCCAATTTTATTTGTTCTATTTTTAATAGTAAAAAACCTTTCGGATCCGGAACCTTTGTACTCAGAATTCGGGACAATTTTTTTCAATTTTGTTCTTGTTTTACTCTAAAATAAACCTCCTGGATCCGAACACTGTTTGCTGATTGTCACACCTACAGCCTGTACTTTCATTCAAAATGAAAATATTGCACATCTTGCAGGTGGATTTTAGCAATAGTTTGATGTTTTTAATAGTTCAATGTTTTTAGTGTAGTGTTGAAGCAGTTCTTGGAACAAACCAGTATCAAGCAATGAATGTAAAGAAGTGTTTTTGCTCAAGGAAACAATGGCTTGCCCCAGACAAGGTTTAAACCAATGCGGTCAGGAATCCTTAAATTACTAGTCCCATGTGTATAAGCACTCAGCCACGCTGCCACTTCAGATGTTGTTTTTTTTTAGGGTTTTAAGCAAATTGTATGCCATATTTCATTTCCTTGTTTTCAGGGTTTTAAAGAAAAAATAGTTCCGTTTTCAGGGTATTAATTAAGCAAAGCCAATCATCAATGCAATATTTTATTTTATGTTTTCAGGGATTTAAGCAAGAATGAGATAACTGTGTTAAGGAAAGAAAGTTTCAGTCAGCTGTCAGATCTTCAAAGACTGTAAGTATTGTTTTATTTAGCAGCCTACATTATATGTTTCAAATTGTTTGTAGGTGCTTTTCTTATGGCCAAGTTCAATGTATGATTATTGTTTTTATAAGTCATCCCCTTGGCCCTTGAAGCATTATTTCAACAAATAAGCATATTCAGCTTGGAGAGCTTGTCCCTCACTCTCTACTGATTTGGAGACTTATGGGTTTCTTGTAGTAAAGACATACAGGATTTGTTTGAGATTGACAATTTGTTCTGTTCATACGTATGTCCATGGGAACAACCTGTAAGGCTGTAAGGTATAGTCTTTGCCCACATTGATGACTGCTGGAAAATTGAAAAAGATAGAACCATACCATGTTATTTTACCTGAATAATACATGAATGTGGGTTAAATAGTAAGTCCATCTGTGTTAATGTTTTGCACAGATATGCATCTGGTATTCTGGCTTTTAGCAATAAAAAAAACCATGGGTATGTTTTTGGTGTGTGCAGCTTTTGAAAATCAATCATTATTTTTGAGATGGAATACATTGAAGTCTATGAAAGTTTGCTTGCATTCATGCATTGTCTTTGTTTATTACAAACATTAGATTACTTAATTGTTATGATGCTGTATGGGTAATGTTATATTTTACTTGCGTTTTTATTTTAACCTTTAGCATAATGTATAGGATAATTAAGGTTTGAACAGCACTGTTATTTGAATTTATGAATATCATTATTATTTCCAAGGGATTTGCAATTTATCTTTAATGCTTAAATAGATGATTGGTTGTTTGATTTTCAAAGAAATGATGAAAGTTTCTGCCATTGGAAAATAGTTGTACTTTTATATATTTAAATTAAATTAATAATGCTGTCATGAGTCAAATAATAATTTAACTTTAATGAATATAAAAATTGTTTCTGTTAAGTGTATGATATACAGTATGAAGTATAATATAATTACTGTAATACTATTTACAATATCTAACGTCCTTGAGGGCTCAAGATGATGATCACACATGGGGTGGCTGGGATTTTTCAACATGATTCAGTGTCAGACTCTGTTTATTTGTGTTGCAAAGTTTAAATGTACCACAATGACTTCCTAGCTTTTATTTTTTTACCCCCTCTCCTCTTCATTTTTTTTTTTTTTTTACAAAATATGTTTTTTAAGTTCAGATCATAAAGATTTCCTGATTTACTTAGGTTAAATATATAAAATGTATATCAGATTGTATTTTATTAGTGGAGGCGAAGAAAGCTATATAGCCTGAAATATTCTCTGAATAAGAGTGATTTTTGGCAGGGGCTGATGGGTAATATAAAATGATTTTAACGGGTTCCCAAGGAGTTTTAACACCATCGTATAAACTTGCCACCAATAAAAAGAGAGCAAGAGATGTTTTAAAAGATACCATTGATAAACTTATTCAACCTTTCGCACCTCAACAAGTTAAAAAAAAAGTTACTCTGGCGTTAAAATGGTTTGAGGATTTTCTCCCTGTCTTTTTTTTGCCATCGTCCTTGCTTCATTGATCCAACTATGATAATTATCTCTGAATGTTAACGTTTTATGAAGACTTGAGTAAATTTATTAATGCGCTCAAAAAATCGGGCTTCTATCTCCTGTATTTGATCGCATGACTCATTTAAAATGCGATATTTGATTTTCTTCAATTACGAATAATTGTGATGTAAAAATGGTATTTATGAAGAACTGGCATTTTATACTTGTGTTTGTTGAAGATGACAGAGTCATGCTGGCCAGTGTTATTGATGAGAATAATTAATGCTTGCTTTGATGTCTGACTTTTGAAATGATGTGTTGCACACTCTTTAATGTTGTCAAACATTTTGTGTTCTTTTTGTCCATTATATTCCTTTGAGGCATTATGCAATAAATTTATCAAATATATTCTATCATATTTGAGATTTTCTTTTCAAATATCTGTCTGCAACACATTACATTAGGTCATATTTGGTTCCGTAAGTTATTTAGTGTCATTTTTATCTTGACATTTTCAAAGAAAAAAATAGATACACTAATTTCTTTTCCCATTCCTGATCCCTTACCGTCCAAAATCTTTTAACATTGGCCATTTATATTTTATTTCTTAATTGATTATTTTCATACTTTGACGTAACAACACTTTGGACAAGACCTTCAAGTAGACTGACTGAAATTGACCTTGACTCATAAATGACCTTGATTTTTACTAGGCTATAACTTAGCTACTTATATTTGGATTGTCTTTGTATTTGGGTACAAAAATCATTTTGAGAAGACCTTCAATTTCACCAAATTGACTTTGACCGTAACTGATCAATAACCTTGACCTTGAAGGTCAACTTATTGAATTTTGACAGACTTTTGCTATAACTGGCTTTAACTTAGTTATTTATCAATTGAATGTCTTCATTCTTGGGCACACTACCTTAAAGGACAATGTATTAGAGAAGATCAAGCTTAATTTGACATTTGACATAAGTGACCTTGACCTTGAAGATCAAATTATTGTTATTTCACAGCTTTTTGCTACAACTGGCTATAACTTTGTAACTAATGAATGGATTGTCTCCATACTTTAACACAACAACTTTTTGATGACAAGGCATTAAATATAAATTGATTTGACCTTGATTTTAAATTGATGATTATGACATCAAATTTGACCTTGACCTATGAATGACCTTGACTTTCAGTGTCAAGTATGAAATTTATATTTTGTACATGAAAATAATGTTTCCTAGGAGTATTCTTTATTATAATATTCCTCCTTGTTTGACTTTAGAAATAAGATAAAGTTGAGTGTGACCCCCTAGGCAGTGGCTCTTTTTTGTCAACTTGTAATATCTTTAATTGTGAAAATTATATGTGTTTTTGATTTCCTATTAAAGGGCTGATAAAAGAAGGCAAAAATGGCCACTGATTGGCTGCTTGAAAGGTCATTATTCTTAGAATCTGCAAAGCATTTAGCTTTGGATACATTTACTACAACTGATTTAGCTTTTGGTAAATTGATTCAGCCTTTGGTCAATTGATATAGCCTTTGGTATAGTAATTCAGCTTTTGTTTAATTGATTTAGCTTTTGGTAAATTGATTTAGCCTTTTGTCATTTGATTTAGAATTGGGTAAAGTAATTCAACTTTTGATCAATTGATTTATTTTTGGGTAAATTGATTCAGCTTTTGGTCAATTAATTCAGCTTTTGGTCAATTAATTTAGCTTTTGGTCAATTGATTTTGATTTGGGTAAAGTAATTCAACTTTTTATCAACTGATTTATCTTTGGGTAAATTGATTTTGATATTGGAAATTTAAAGCTCACACACAATCCCTGAGCATTTTGGTAAAAAATTTGATCTTGTGGTGATATATATGTACTTCTATGTAGTATTTCCAAGCAGACTGTTAGTGTTTATATCTGATTGTCTTAATATTTTGCTAAACATAAAATTATTCATGTAAATAACATGCCTAAGGCTCTCTAGAGTAAAACATGGAAATGTCTATAAAATTTGTCATAAAGTCAAGTGCTTTGAAGTGAGACAGAGGTATGTATGTAAGATGATTTAGGGGAGATAGAACCGTTCTGCGTTACACAGCAAGGAGTTCCATGTCTGTATGTATGAAGACTTTTGTCAGATGTTTCACCAAACTTTCTCTCAGCATGTATGAATATTTTGTTAGAAGAAAAGTAATTAAAAGTGAGAGTTCTTGCTGGAGTCAGGCTATGAACAGCAGAACTGGTATGTCAGAATAAAACATGAATCCTCCAGGGTTATATTGAGGTTTTAAGGCTATTTTGAACAGTTGTCTTCTAACCTTGATTTTCTACAGCATCTACTGACTGGATTACTGTCAATAAAGTCTTAAAGGGTCTTCTGAGATGTTCTCTTACTGAAGGCCTGGTCTGGTTTCATAACACCTGTCTTGATATAGGTACATTAAGAGAAATTCTTTTGTTAAAATGTATTTATTTTAGTTCCATTGTTGAACAAGATATTGCAACTTACATGAATCACTTTCAAGTTAGCTTTCTGGACCTAATTATATAATTGGTATTCAAGTGCCATATTAGGAAACAGGCTGTTGACCACAATATAAGAGCTTGAACCCACAATGCTGGGGTTTAGTGGCAGATATATTAACCATAAGGCCACGGCAGTTGCCTTGAAAATTTTAAGAGAAAGATTTTATATTCAATGTTGACAATAATGAATATTGGTCCAACTGCTATTTAATTATCCAAATGAAATCGTCCTGCAACTTAATGCTTAGCTGTTGATTTCATTTTTTGCACACAACTCACATTCACGATTTAGTCATTTCCTCATTTTAATCCATTACTCCATATACACCCAGCTGTTTCAAGTTTAAATTTACTGTTTCAAGTTTAAATTTACTGTTTCAAGTTTAAATTTACTGTTTCAAGTTTAAATTTGGTCAGTTGTTACGTTTTGATATTGGAATGCAGGACATCTATGATCTTGCCTATGTGACATGATTTTGCTGTAAGGTGTATTATTACACTGCAAACAGTTTTGTATTTTCAATTTTGAAAGAAAATTGTACCACGTCTAATGAAACTGTATGTTCATTGTTGTAGCATACCACACTGGGTGCATTCATTTTAATTGGGAGGTTTTCAGTGTAAGAGATAGCTTGAAGTGTACAAAGATTTCAGCTTGTTACAATATGGAGAGGTCTATTTACATAATTAGCTTTCACCAGGTGTTCCATACCTGGGCAGCACAATATATTGCTGGATAATCTATATGACCGGTTTGACAGTTATATGTATATGAGGGCTGTCCCACAAAGTCATGGATAATTTGAATATATTAGGCCTCAGAGCATCAAATAATTTTGCACATAAGTTTGAAGTGAATAAATGCGCTTTATTAAAAAAAAAGTTATAATAAAACGCGAAATATTAAAATAAGCATTGATACTGACCAGCATAGTGAGACACACCAAAAACATTATATAAATAACAGCAATTAATGGTAACGTTTGA